ATTATAAATGAGCTTGCCTGGTCATTTTCCTTTAGAGAGAGAATGTGTGGGACAAGGGTCACAAGCACCTGGTCACCTTGGTGGATATAAATCTCAATGTGCATTAATAAATGGCATTTTGTTTTTTACATCGTGTATTATGAGCTTTGTAAGTGTGGGTTGGTAACACTGAGCCTGACCACCCCTAGGACCCTAGGAAGATGAATTTTTCACAGCCTCTGTAAGTAATGGCCAGACCCAGGTCTATTCTGAATTCATCCGGTTGCCTTTGTATCTTTACTTCTATCATCTATACAATGATAGTCGAGGAAGACTCTGCCTTAATGGATGAGCCAAAAATTAACTAGACAGAGAATAAAATACCTTGTTACATATTTGTGTAAATGCCCTGACGTGATAGCCTGGTCATCCAAAGCCATATCGGCCTACAGCCCCAAATCAGGTCACATAACGGCTATGTGACTGTCAATCTTGACCATCAAGCTGACTAGGGAAAGAAGTACCTATGAAATTAGTGAAGATATTTCCAGAGAGAACTAATTAAGGGAGAGGACCTGCCCTGGATATGAATGGCACCGTCCCATAGCCTGGGGGTTCATACGTAATAAAAGTGGGGAAGAGAGAAAGCTAATGCGTAGTGTCTCTCTGCTTCCTCGCTCTCATGATGCTCCCCTGTGCCACATCCTCCCCACCAGGATTGACCCCCGAAATTGCAAGCCCGTCCTGAGATTGTGAAATAAACCCTTCATCCATTGTGTTGTTTTTGGGCGGGTTATGTTGTCATGGTAACTCAAAAGTGACCAACACAAGACGTAAACACTGTCTCTCTAGCACTAGGTTCTTGCATGCGTGTTTTTTGTAGGGATGCGTTCGTTCAGCCCATAGAGTGTTTTTTGTAGGGATGCGTTCGTTCAACCCATAGCAACTCCATTCCTGTCAGCTGTCTCCCCCGAATGCCCACAGCCAGGGCTGGCACCGAAAGTGCTGCTGCCCATGCCACAGGCAACCTTGTGCTGAACCTTGCTTCTTCTTCAGCTGGATCCAGATCTGTGGGGGCTACCCCAGGTTCTGCAGGTGTCCTGAATCGCCCTGGGTTGAAGTTGGGCCTCCTCTGCTATTGTGTGCTGCCCAGAGCACAGTAAGGAACAAATAGCTCTCTCTCTCTCTCTCTCTCTCTCTCTCTCTCTCTCTCTCTCTCTCTCTCTCTCTCTCTCTCCCCTCCTCCCCTCCCCCATCACAGTAGTTACTTGGTCTTGCCTCCTATTTCCAGAGAATTCTTATAGCAGTCCACGGGGCCCCACTACGGCCCTGGCAAAGGAGTGGCTGTGCAGAACTGAATGGAGCATGTCTGCTGCAGAATCAGAAGGTGAGCACACCCACCCGGGCCTTGGTTCCCACTGCCCTGTCTTGCTTGGTCTGGAAGGAGATGAAGTGATGAACCAATGCACATAGTTCACTTTCATGAAAGAAAAAGAAAAACCGACACTTCAAGCCATCATAACAAAGAACACGTTCACTTAGTTCACTGTGTATAGTCTGTGTATAATACATACAAACTGCCGCGGGGTCACGTGTCCTAATATTGGGAGTATAGGTACTCTCAATGAATTGTGCTGCTGTTTCCATAAAGTCACCGATGAACAAAGCCCTGAAGGTGGTATCCAAATAGATATATTTGGAGCAAACAGGCTGTATCCTGCATTCATTCCCCGCACGAGCAAGCAAGGAAAACAGCTTCCAGAACACCTCTTCTTTTTCTGGTACCTTCAGAATAGGCACTCACCGAGACTTCTGTCTGTGGAGGAATGACCCAGGAGCCACTTCCAGGATCAGGGACTTTTTTTTTTTTAAAACCACTTTCTTACCACACCAGATACCTATGACCAGGTCTCTGAGTGTGTGTGTGTGTGTGTGTGTGTGTGTGTGTGTGTGTGTGTGTGTGTATACGCATTTCTACCTCTGCCCAGGTGATTTCCAAGACTTCTGTTTAACCGTGTGCTACTTCCTGATAGCAGGTCACTCCGGGCTTTATAACCCAAAGAATCCCCCGATTCTGCTCAGTGTTCTCATGGGGAGATCCCCTAAACAGCCTGGATCACACCTTTCCAGCATTCTCTCCAGCAGGACTCGCTGAGGACGTCTGTGTCCTCCAGGCAGTCTAACTGCTCACTCTGCAGGTTCCTCTAATTTATTTCCGCATTCTGCCATGTCCCATTCCTGTGAACTCTTTCCTTTATTCCGCGTGTCTTTCTCTGTCACCCGTCTGGGTCTGACCTTCCCTGCAAACTAAGTTAGGAGAGGCATTCTGCTATTTATGGCTGACCTTATCCCGTGCCTTGTAAGGGATGCTAAAGGCTTTTCTCCCACCCTCGCCACTGGATTTTGAAATTAATTTTAAAAGAGAACACAATTTCTAAAGCTGCCCTTCCTTGAAGGACACTTTATTCCCTCTGCAGAATGTGTACTGAAGATTGGTCTCTGGGAAAAAAAAAATACTTCTGTGCCTCTGTTTTGTTCTACTCCTGGGGTTACACAGGGGATGCATGGCTTGGTGACACAGCTAATCCAGGGAGCATCTGCTTTCTTTGGCAGAGTTCAATTTACAGTGTAATGGGGGTTAGAAGAACTATTCCGAAGAGCAACAGCTTTTTCTACACAAAGCATCGTTTTGCCTCCGGCCAAGCCTCTCCACCTTGGTGGCTACTTTGTCAGGGTCTAGCATCCTGTAGGCATCATAGTGCTAGTGCTTGATGATTAAAAAGAAAACACTGCGTGTGCGTGTGTGCGCGCGCACACACACACACACACACACACACACACACACACACACACGCCTTTTATTGCAAAATTGTTCGTTTTATTACAGCCAAAACCCAAACTCCTTCCTTAGCGAGGGAAAGACAAAAGGAGAAAAAGAGGCAGAAGTCTGAACAGTTCTCTGAGTCTGGGCTACGGTGATTTTTTTCCTCTCATCCAGTGGAGGACTGGGACCAGAGTAGAAGAAGAAAGCCATCGGGAGGGGACCTCTTCTCTTCTCTGCTGTACATGGTCAACCCCCAGCTCCATCAGCAGAGATCCTGAAGTGAGGCAGATATGAACCAAGCCTAGCCAACCCGTGGTACCCACGTCCATGCCTGAGATACTGCAATAGCATCCAGCCTCCAGCTTCTTAAATCTGCATAAGTGAATTCGAGGGTTGTGAAAAGTTTGGCAATAGTAAACTGTGTAACGACCAAACATTAGCTCAGACTCAATGCATATGAATCTGAGGTGTCTGGCTGGGCTCGCCCATGTTATAATACACGACTTCCCTTCAGCTGTGGTTCTGGACATACAACATGCACACATGTCACTGCACATGTCACACCATACAACACCTGAAATACGTATGTAAGAATTGTAGTGCTTTTACTATTTATTTTCTGTTCTTAAAAAAAAAAAAAGAGGACTGGACAGATAGCTCAGCAGGTAGGAGCACTTACCGCTCTTGCTGGAAACCCAGGTTCAGGTCCCCGCACCCACATATCTGCTCACAACCATCTGTAAGTCTAGTTCCAGAGGATCCAAAACTCTTTTCTAGCCAGCTCGGGTCCCTGCACACACATGGTGTACACACATACATTCAGGCACATACACATACAAAATAAAATTAAATATAAAAAAAAACTACCAGAGTTTAATTACAGAAAACAAAGGCTTCCACTATTTCCCCACTATGATTTCTCACATCGTGTGTTAAATGCATATGTGTTTGGATTGTATTGTACAAGAGTGTCATATTTTTTTTTTTTTTTGTGATTTTATTATTGTTATTTATTTTGTTAAGTCCATATATTATATAAAACATAACAGGAAAAAAATCAACAAATTTATAAAATAAATTGAAAATGTTTGGATGAAAAAACACAGGAGCATTGCCTTCGTGTCTATAGGTCTCTCAGTATGCTGTTGGTCTTGCATCTTAAGTATCAAGGAAAGATATCTAGCTTGAAACAAAAGTTGACATGCTGCAAGGTTAAGGAGCAGTTAGTTTGGTGATGGGTCAGGAAATAGTATTCTTTAAACCTTATCCTAAAATATTGGCTATAATAAATGCTGATATGCAAAACACAAGCTTTTATCAGACAGCAAGAGGAAAACCTGAGTGAATGAATATAACTTACCTCCAAGTCCTCTGAAAGGAGGTAAGTAAATAAATACTGTGTCTTACCACTGTTCCCCCCAAAGCATTATTCTAAACATGCAGGAGGGTGTTATGAGCAGCTACAATCAATCAGATCTACCCAGAGGTAAGCTCAAGGCCAAGAATAGGAGAGTGGCTGAAGAAATTCTCCTGGGGCCAGTACCATTTCAGAGAATGCCCATCTATGCTAGAAGATAAATCTACAGCCTATGTTCTTTTCATTCAAAAGGACAGTCCCAGTTTCAGCCTTGCTGAAAAGAGGCACTCTTGACCTGCTACTGACAACAGCTGGGAACAGGGTAAGCCTGGCATAACGTTACCTAGCAAGCACATGCTAGCTGTTCGGTTTGAAATCTACCAAACTGTAAATGTGAAGGGAAAGAAAGCATTGAAGACGGAGCAGTTCCTCAAGGTAAGGAACAAAAAGAGGGATTAGGCACTCTCTCAACTCTATATGGAGAACTTCTGTCTCAAGCTAGGCAGGAGATAAGAGTATTATCAAAGGCTGACCAGTCCATTTGATGACTAAAATAGGGGGTGGGGGCAACAGGAAGAAAGTCAATAAAAGGAGTATTTCTAGGTCTGATTAGGAAGCGAGTCTAAGGCAGCCACACCAAAAGTACCCGACTTGTGACTCAGGCAGCAATCTGGTGGCAAAATATTTCAAGATATTTTCAATCCAGAGAAGTGTATAAAAAAATATTGTTAACTGAGCAAATTAAAACCAAACTTCCAACAGTAGGAAATCTCTTCAGATCTGAAATCAAAGACACTCACTTTTCATCAATTTTGTGCAGCATTAGGAAAAAAAAAGTAACAAATGTAAAGATTTGTTTTATTTCTACTAGGGGAAGGAAGAGGATAGATATAAGTTTTATCCAATTTGCTGTTCGCTGTGTACACACATACCCACACACATACATATACATACACACCAAAAGTTCCCCCCAAAAACCAAAAAACCACCCTCAAACTATACCAATACTTCATTTTGACCAAAAGAATAGATCCTGGGAAGAAGTGCAAAATGCAAAATCAAATGACCGAGAAATGCTGAACAAACAGCATTATTAATATACAAAATATTTATATTACTGAACTAGTAACAGGTGATGTTCTCCGTGTCTGTAAAACTTTGGAACAACAGAGCTGATTGTTAAATCTAGTCCATGCCAGCTTCCAGAACCCAGAGGATTTTAGTTAGCTTCATTTTTCGATGCTTCATCAAAATTTTCTACAAGATCTGGAACATCATCATCCTCTTCATCAATGTCTTCTGGTTTTGGTGCTTTACTATCCAATACTTGTCGTGGGAACTGTTCAGCTAACTTTCTAAGGCTTGTTAAGCTGTCAGCACCAAGCTGACTTAATATTCCAGGAAGCATTTCTGTGATTGGTTTGGCTTCTGCATGGCCAGTAATTGCAAAGGTGTTAGCGGAGAGGGAAGCTTGGACTTTGGGGTTGTTGAAATGAATAACTGTTCCATCATCTTTAATCATGTTCACCTCTTCAATACCAGCTATATTGTTCACAGCCAGTTTCTTTAGAGAACTCTGAAGCTTTTTGTCATCAGCAGTAGCTGTCCTATGTACCACCTTCTTCTTTCTGCGAGCTGTACCCTTGCCCCCTATCCGGACCTGAGCTTGAAGTTTGGCTAACTTTTCTTGATTCATGCTGTTGGTAAATCTGCAGCGGGGAGGGTCCTCCAACACCAGCACGCGGCAAGAGCAAGATCAAGAGTGTCATATTTTAAAAACTGCTATTTGAGTTGCTGCACTGAGTTTCAAACGAAATTGTTACAAGAATTTTGGCTTTGATTAAAACAGAATTAGGTTTGCAACATTTTCTAAACTGGCCCTAAACCTTCTTCTGTTGTTTTATAGAATGCATTTATGCAAAGCTTTCTCAGCACTGATGATTTTAAACAAAATACCAATTAGCTCTTTAAAACACCGAAGATGTTCTAGGCTCCACTGTATCAAATATTCAGCCACGATTGAATGCTATGCAAATATAAAGAAGCACACCCATCTCATTGGCATGCAAATTTTCATCGTTAATAATAGTGAGGCTATATATGTATATAAATTGTTTAGATCAAAACCAATATTTTATGATATATTAGCAATGTTTGATTGTGTGTTTATTTTATATTCCTGTATACCTGGGGCCACATGAAAATTTCTCAGGCTAAGGGAGTCACAAGGGAGAAAACCTTAAGCAGCCCTGACGTAGCCTATGCTAGAAAAGAGGCTGGGGACATGGCCTTTGCCTCCTGGCTGTAGGTGTACTTGCTATCACAGTCATGTGACTCTACCCTCGTTTAGTGGTGAGGGCCCACCGCACCACCAAGGCCTCTGGGGTCTCCTAAGCTGTCACACTGGTTTCTCCTCAACCTGTACCACAGCTCTGAACCTTGGGGCTCTGAGGACCCTGGAGGTGATTTTCAGTCTAGGTACACTATGTTGGGGGCACAGACTAGGGGTAGGGTACTTTCTGTAAGAGTCTCCTCGTCTCCCCTAAGTACCTGAAAGGCACAGGTCCCAACACCACCGAGCTTCAGGCACCGAGCTTCTGGAGTGATCCGATGAGGGCATAAGGATGAGGGGCGGTGGGGAGAAGGGCCAAACGTTCTCACAGAGAAGAGCCATGGTCTCTCACTCTCTGCTTTCCTTTCTGGGTCCCCCTCCCCTGAGTCCGGACAGAAGTCTCTCCCATCCTTCAGAACTCCTCAAAGCAGCGCATGTTCGCAGTACGGAAGTGCTGCTTCGGGCCAGCACAGGAATCAACTCATTGCTTTCTTCATCAAGAGAGTCTTGCAACCAAACAAAACCCGTGCCCGCAGAAGCGGAGTTGATTTACATTCCGGAGCAGGCTCCTTATCTACAAAGTAAACAGGCCTCACGAGGCCGCAGTTCTGTCGTGGACTTTCTACTCATTCTGTGGCTTGTGGATAAAGTGTGTGTCCTGCTTCCTTCCGGCTGTGGGCTTCGGGCTCCGGCTTTCGATGTTCAAAGCCAGCTTTTCAAATTTATAGAAGCATTGACTCTCTAGTGCCTTGTCTTCCCGGACTGTTGTTTCAGCTATGTGTTAAAACAACCCTACGCAATAACACCGTTGGCTCCTGTGTTCCAGCCTGTGTCTGTCCTTATCCTGACAGAAGTTATTGTATAAAAATTTCATTACTGAGAGAGTGGTGATGAAGATGACCATTCTACCTTTGCTCTGTTTAGCTTTCTTTTCTTTTCTTTTCTTTTGGGTTTTTGTTTGTTTGTTTTTGGTTGTTGTTGTTTTGTTTCGTTTTGTGTCCATCCGTTGTCATCGTCCCCCCCAACCCCCCAGATCTTGCTCTGCAGACCAGGCTGGCCTCAAACTCACAGAGATCCGCCTGGCTCTGTGTAAGGAACACATGTAAGGCCTAGGGTGAACAACCCTGGTCAGGAGTGATAAGCAATAGAATGATGTAAGTAAACCACAAATGGAGTAGTGATAAGCTATAAGCTATGTGTGGAAGTAGGGATAAGACTAGAAACCCAGCCAGGAAAGAATATAAAAGATGAAGCCTCAGACCCGACCAACAGAGCTCGTCAGGCCCTCGCGCGAGATGACTCTCCTCTGCCAGAGACGTGGCTGACCTGAGGAAGGCTGACTCAAGATCCAGAGGAACAGACGTGGCTGACCTGAGGAAGGCTGACCCAAGATCCAGAGGAACAGACGTGGCGAGTCCAGACCTGTATACCCGGAGAGGTACTCCTGCTTCCATTTGGAAGACAGGATGAATATTGCTTGTAATCTTACTGTGTGAATAAATGAGTGTTATACCAAGTCTGAATCAAGAGTGATTATTCCTCCCCCGTAACTGGGGTATGTGCTCGCTACACTCTGCCTCCCCATGCTGGGATTAAAGGCTTACACCACCACCACCACCCGACTCTGTTTAGCTTTTTAATTGTATTTCCTGAGTCCCTGGTAAGAACAGTATGCGGGTGTGGTAGTTTAAATGTAATTGGCCCCCATAAGGAGTGGCCCTGTTAGGAGGTGTGGCTTTGTTGGAGTAGGTGTGACCTTGTTGGAGGAAGTGTGTCCCTGTGGGGGTGGGCTTTGAAGTCTCAAACATGCTCAAGCCATGCCCAGTGAGTCAGTCCACTTTCTCTTGCCTTCTGATCAAGACGTAGCCAGCCCCATGTCTGCCTGCGCCCTACCATGCTCCCCACCATGATGATAATGGACTGAACCTTTGAAACTGTAAGTCACCCCAATTAAATGTTTTCCTTTATAAGAGTTGCCGTGGTCATGGTGTCTCTTCACAGCAATAGAAACCCTGACTGAGACAGTGGGTTTTAATGTAGAGATTTATTTTACAAATGAGATTTTGTCCGCTGAGCATACAGGTCAAATCAGTTTGGCTCTGTTTCCCTCACAGCATACACAACCATAAAGTTCCTCGTTAGTCTGCTGTGTGTTAACAACGTGTAATGACAGGAACAAATGCAAGGTTGAGTGTAACTTTTAAAATAGCAGCCATAGGGACTGGGGAGGTGGCTCTGTGGTTAAGAGTGCTTACTGCTCTTGCAGGGGACATGAGCTCAGTTTCTAGCACCTTTATTGGGCAGCTCACAACAGCCTGTAACTCCAGTTCCAAGGGATCCAGTGCCCTTCTCTGGCCTTTGCAGGCATTAGTCACACACACACACACACACACACACACACACACACACACATACACACACGGGGTGGGGAAGAGCACACATTTATGTATTCATGGAAGTAAAACACTCATATACATAATTTAAAATAGGAGAAAACAGAAATAAACATATTCCTTTGTATTTTTAATTTGTATAATGTGTGTGTGTGTGTGTGTGTGTGTGTGTGTGCACAAGGTGCATGTGTGTGCATATGCATGGGAAGCCAGAAGCCAGTTCTGACTGTGTTTCCTCCTCAGATGTTATTCACCTGTTTTTGGAGCGAGGGTGTCTCTCACGGACCTAGGACTGTGATTGTTAGGTTGCTGGCCAGCAAGCCCTAGGGATCTTCCACCTCCCCTGCCCTGAGATCACAAGCACAGGCTCCCAGGCCCAGTTTTTTACACGGGGGGCTGGAAATTGGATTTAGATCCTCGGGCTGTGCAGCAAGCCCTTTACTGAGTCAGCAATCTCTGCAATCCTTTGTATAATATTTTTAGAACAATAATCTTAATTGGGGGAGTGAGTTATAAACCAGGCCCCACCCGACCGACGTTTGCCTCCCGCTCACTGCTCTTGTGATAACGCATCTTCTCGGCTGTTTTCTAAGAATCTTTCCTGCAATATTTTAACTTTAAAAACCGCAGTGTTCAGGATTGAACCCAAGCCTTATACATGCTAGACAAATCCTCTACTGTTTAGCTACATCCCCAGCCCTTCTTTCTGTAAAATTTTAATAACCTCAGAAGGTCCTCAGTCTCTCAATTGCGGCACATTTTTGCTCCCCTCCCCATAATAATTTTATTGATTATTTGGGAATTTCACATAAATGCACCCTGATCACACTCACTTCCCAGTCCTCCCAGGTCCACCCCCACACTTGGAACCTTCCTCAAAAAAAGAAGACGGCGGCGCACACCTTTAACCCCAGCACTTGGGAGGCAGAGCCAGGCAGATCTCTGTGAGTTCGAGGCCAGCCTGGTCTACAGAGTGGTTCTAGGATAGGCTCCAAAGATACACAGAGAAACCATGTCTCGAAAAAACAAAAAACAAGAAACAAACAAACAAAAAAAAGAAGTAAAAGAAAAAATATATACCAAGTCCAATTTGTGTTGCCCACATACTCACTGGAGCATGGTCAAACTCCCATTGGCCAGCCCCTTAAAGAAAATCAAGTCCTTCCCCACCCCCACTCCTTCTAGAAGCCATCAACTGTGAAAAGATACACTGAAGCATCTTTATCACACTTTTTAAGAGTTCTCTGCAATGGCTCCCTGTCTAGACTATTTCTTTTGGGGGGTGGGGGGTGGCGGGGAGAGGTTGTCACAGAAGCCTCTCTGTCTCTCACTCTCAACTGAGTCTCAGTCATCAACACCACTGCAAAAGAAGCTTCCTTGGCCTTTACAGCCAGCAGCAGAATAGACCATGAACTTCCACCTGGTTTCTGGCAACAGCATTGACAACCACAGACATCCACATGGCCTCCAGCAGCACCACAGACCATGGACCTCAGCATGGTCCCCAGTGGCAGTACAGGCTATCGACATCAGCATGGCCCTCAGCCACAGCATGGACCACAGACATCAACCAGGCCCTCAACGGTAGCAGGGACTATGGACACCAACAAGGCTCACAGCAGTAGCACAGACCATGGACATCCACCTGGCTCTTGGAAGTAGCTCAGGCCACAGATATCAACATGGCCTCAGGTGGCAGCCCAGGACATGAACATCCGTTTGTCCTCTGGCAATAAATGGATCACAAACATCAACATGGCCTCAGGCAGCATCACAGACTATGGACATCAACATGGAGATCTTTCCAGGAGGCCCAATCCAGAAAATGAACCATTCTCTATGGTGGTATTTTACTTGTACTGAAATGTGATTTTAATTGTATGTTAATAAATAAAGTTGCCCAGGGGTCAGAGCTATTAGAGCCATAGCAAGAGCATGGCGGTGGTGGCGCATGTCTTTAATCCCAGCACTTGGTAGACAGAGCTAAGTAGATCTCTGTGTGTTCAAGGATACAGCCAGCATTGGA